CTCATTTATACCTTACAGATCACCCTGTGAAAGAGTATTATGAGCTCATTTTATAAAAGAGAAAATTAAACTTCAGCGATATTAAGTGACATATTCACTCAGCTAGTAAGTGGCAGAGCCAAGGTTTAAGTTTAGTCTCATTCCAAATCTCTTTCATAATATACTCCCTGTTCAGGGAATAATGCTTTTCTTCCAAATGTGCAAGACGGTCCTACTATGTAAGAAGTTTTTTATACAATAAACCTCACCACCATAGTGAGTTTCACTCATTATTTCCCACAGCTCCAAAATATCATTTTAAAGCAACTATATATAAAGTACAGAAAAAGACAAGAAACCTAACTCATAGACTGAGCCAAAGCATACATACACATTATAATCCCAACTATAGTATTTTGGATGTACCCAAATACCCAAGTTCTTTCTTTGCTTATCTCTGCCTTTTCTTAGGTCTTTATCTCTTCTCTTCCTCTTCCCTCTCAACCCCTTAACTTCACAAACTACTGGTATGACTGACTGCAGGGGCAGATACCAAGATTGCATGGCATGAATTCCATCTTTCTTTTCCACATCTAAGAGGAGAAAATAAAAGGCACTCTCTCTCTCTTTTCTTAAAGCAGTAAAATTACTTTATTAAATCTCAACCCTTGAGTACATATCTTTTTTTTTTCTTTTCCACTATGGTTTATTACAGGATATTGAATATAGTTCCCTGTGATATACAGTAGGACCTTGTTGTTTATCTATTTTAGGTAAGAGTAGTTTGTATCTGCTAATCCCAAACTCCCAATTTATCCCTCCCCCACTCCCTTTCCCCTTTGGTAACCATAAGTTTGTTTTCTGTTTGTGAGTCTACTTCTGTTTTGTAAATAAGTTCATTTGTATCATATTTTAGAGTCTACATATAAGTGATATCATATGTTATGTCTTTCTCTTTCTGGCTTACTTCACTTAGTGTGATAGTCTCTAGGTCACCCATGTTGAAATGGCATTATCTCATTCTTTTTTATGGCTGAGTAGTATTTCACTGTATACATATACCACATCTTCTTTATCCATTTATCTGTCTATGGGCATTTAGATTGCTTCCATGTCTTGGCTATTGTAAATAGAGTTGCTATGAGCATTTGGGTGCATATATCTTTTTGAATTAGAGTTTTCTCCAGATATATGCCCAGGAGTGGGATTGCTGGATCATATGGCAACTCCATTTTTAGTTTTTTAAGGAACCTCCATTCTGTTTTCCATAGTAGCTACACCAATTTACATTCCCACCAATAGTGTAGGAGGGTTTCTTTTTCTCCACACCCTCTCTGTCACTTGTTATTTGTAGACTTTTTAATGATGGCCATTCTGACCGGTGTGAGGTGATACCTCACTAAAGTTTTGATTTGCATTTCTCTAATAATTAGCAATGTTGAGCATCTTTTCATGTGTCTATTAGCCATCTGTATGTCTTCTTTGGAGAAATGTCTATTTAGGTCTTCTGCCAATTTCTTGATTGGGTTGTTTGCTTTTCTGTTATTGAGTTGTATGAGCTGTGTGTATATTTTGGAAATGAAGCCTTGTATCGCATGCAAATATTTTCTCCCATTCCATACGTTGTTTTTTCATTTTGTTTATGGTTTCCTTTGTTGTGCAAAAGCTTGTAAGTTTGATTAGGTCCCATTTGTTTAGTTTTGCTTTTATGTCTACTGACTTGGCAAACTGACCTAAGAAAACATTGCTATGATTTATGTCAGAGAATGTTATGCCTATGTTCTCTTCTAGGGGTTTTATGGTGTCATGTCTTATATTTAAGTCTTTAAAAAGGTACTCTCTTAATATCCCCCAACGTATAGAAAGCAAACCAAAGGCAAAATATATTTCTCTAATCTTATTATTTAACTTTCTCCTAAAAATGTTTATTGGCCAAGAGGCAAGGAGACTAAGTACCAATATGCCAGTGTAAGTACTTTATCCATTTTAATTCATATTGTAACAGCATACTTTGCTAAAATAAAACTGACACAATTAAACGTATAAGTCCAAAGCACATGATTAATTTGCTCAGACACAAAGATATCTAAATGTGTACACTTGTGTTTTCTGAATCTCATGTTTCATAACAAGGAATACTAAAATCCATTCCTTAATTATTTTAAGTTGTAAGATTTAAAAAGAAATAAGTTGCAATTTATTTTTACCTTGTGAAAGACCAGTGGAACGTAAGCTCTAACTATAGTTAAATCCTGCCAGAATGAAGAAACTGGGATTAAAAAAGATTCAGCCACACAAAACACAGGGTTGGATTATTGTGAGGTTAATACAATGATAAAGGTGAGCCTATACTACATACAGCTGGCTAGAAGTCCTGTGCAATTCAAATGTCTTTAGGCCTGGGATGCAGTTTGGCACCACCTGGTGGCAACCATCCACCCTAGCTTCAATATCCATGGGGTCATTCTGGATCCGGTGGCTGACTGGGGTTTCTAAGGCACTAGCCCCAGTCCCAGGAATTCCCTGACTAGGTGGTATCCACTTTGACGTGGCTATGGAGTCAGAACAACACAGGGAAAAAGGAAACCTGTCTTCAGCTTCCCTGCTTCCAGAAATGGTTCTGTCGACTGTTTCTCAACCTACCTCTACCAATCATCTTAGAGAATAGGGGCTAGTTTACATTAATTTATGTTACCAGGGAATGCATTTTAAAGGAGTCTTTAAAAAGTAAAACAACAATGGCAACAACAAAAACCAAAAAATCAGTGTATTCTCAAAATGATTACATACCAAGGTTTATGTGGCTATGTGAATTGTTTGGAAGTAATCACACGTTACCATAGAAACAATCCCATAAATTTTAAGGTTATTAAGTTGGCCAATAAAAGCCTTTATTATAAAATCCATAACAGAATTGAGCCACAGGACTATAAGTACTTGTTTGTAAAACAAAATAGTAGTATCACCTATGCCACAGGTCTAGCTCACATCTAGATCTTTCTCCTGAGATTCAGACCTTATATAATCAACTTTTCTATTTGCATATGTCACACAAACTTAATGAAACTAAACTAAATTTGTCATGTTTCCCAATTAAAGCCGTGTCTTTTTCTAATGCTTTAAAAACTGCATCACTATCCCCGCAGCTGCCCAATCAAGAACCTGGTGACATCCGTAACTTCTCACTCCCCAATCCAATCTAGCCAATGAATCCTCCTGACTGTTTAGTTAGGTTAGTTCCATCTCCTGAGCACTTTTCCAATCTGGCCCACTTCTCCCCGCCTCTACTGCTACTAATCCAGTTCCATCTTCACTACCCGTCTTGATAAGGGAAACAACCTCTAAAAGTGGCCTCTTTGTCTATAGCCTTATACTCTTCCAGTCTATCCTCCACATCACAGAATAGTCTTTTTATATAAAATTAGATCATATCACGCATATTCCCCAAACCTTTCGATTGTTCATGGTCTTAGACAATAGCTCAAATGCATGATTTGGACCTGTTTCCCTCTTCTGTTTCATCCCTTACAACTCGCTGCCTCTTGGTCTATGGTCTAACCACTCCGAATTATTCTATTTGTTCAAACAACTTCATTTTGTCTTGCCTCCAGGGTGTGCATTAATTCCCCTAATTCCCTTCCCTCCCATAACTGACAGTCTTACTCTTAGTCATCATGCAGGTGTTGCATGGGTACTTCTCCCTCCACGTAGTCTTCCCTGATTCCTCCCAGGGCTGAGTTAGATATACCTTGAGTCTATGTGGTCTCACCCTGTGTATCTTGCCATTTGCTCCATTATCATCATACTTTTGATCATTGTTTCTCTATTTCTCCATTAGACTACCAGCTTTGCAAAGGCAGAGGTCACCACTGTATCTATGGCATCTGACATGTATCTAGAACATGGTGGACCTTAATAAATATTTGCTAAATAAGTAAATTTATTGTTCTTAGAGCTCAAATGTAACCTTCTCTAATATCAACCTTAGTCTGATTTAAAGTCTTGCTTGTTGGCAAAGATAATAGCATACACTCAAGTCAGTGCTCATAAACTAGTATGACAATTAAGTCCATTTCAAAAATGTTTCCCTCTAAAACATCAACTTTGAAAAGCCATATGAACCATAATGATGGTATATAAAAATAACTGCTATTGAAATAAGTAGCATTTATTTTTCCCTTAATGCTGCCAATCTCTAAAAAAACCTAATATATGCTGTTCTAAAAGTAACTGCATGAATAAAACTGATCCTTCTTAAAGATTATCTAACATGTCTTTAGGACCAGCAGCTATATGAGGCATAAGCAATACTTCATATTATTATTCCAGCTTCTAAAAATTTCCTGGAGAAATCACTGGCATATTATAGGAAGAACTACTGGTATCTCTTAGTACTCTCTAATTTCCTTTTCATTTCTGTCCTTAATCTGAACTAAGGTAAAGGCAAAAGGAAAAGCTAACAGGGTAATAAAAAGATAATAGGAATACCAGAATAAACAGGCCTAACATCTGATAAATGCTGTTCTAAGCTAGTTATCAAAGACCTTAGAACTTTAATATTCCATTATACTTAGATTTATGACAAATTTTCTTTAATGTATTAAAAAAGACATTATGTCATGAACTAAAGTTTAACTTGCTTCGGGCTTCCCTGGTGGAGCAGTGGTTGAGAATCTGCCTGCCAATGCAGGGGACACGGGTTCGAGCCCTGGTCTGGGAAGATCCCACGAGCCGCAGAGCAGCTGGGCCCGTGAGCCACAATTACTGAACATGCACGTCTGGAACCTGTGTTCCGCAACAAGAGAGGCTGTGATAGTGAGAGGCCCGCGCACCGCGATGAAGAGTGGCCTCCGCTTGCCACAACTAGAGAAAGCCGCCACACAGAAACGAAGACCCAACACAGCCATAAATAAATAAATAAATAAATACTTAAAAAAAAAAAAAAAAAAAAAACCAAAAAAACTATAAGCTTCAAACAAAGAGCAATAAAATATCACATAAACTTCTTGGTTTTTTTTTACCTGTTTTCCCGTTCATACATTTCCCTGGAGGCACTTCGAAGTTGATCAATTTCTTGATTAGTTTTCAATCTGATTTGTTCCAGTTCATCACGTAGCTTATTTTCATATTCTGTTTTATAATGGTCTCTGCAAAGAGTCAAAAGGAATATCCTTTTTTTCTTTGTTTGTAAAAGAAATAGGTCTTTGCCCTTCATGTAATATTTTAATATCTTATGTCAAATATGCTCTACATACAATGTTACTTGAAAAACACAGTTTAGATATAAAGCTTTAAAATTCTTAAAAATACCATTCCAAACTAGTTCCATCTGAGATTTTCTTTTAAACATATTACCCTAAAGGCTTAATTACTATATAAAATGTTCATTCATATTGAATAATTATTCATCTTCAAAAATATTTTACTAATTTAACGCATATGGCAAAAGACTTGAAAACTAATGCATTATGGAAGGTCCTTCGTTTACAAACAATGATCTGATGTGGTGCATATTGGAAGACAATTAATCTTAAAAAAAAATGACCCGAATGTACTCTTTACAAAACCTTTCCTTCTAAGCACAACAACCATAGCCACTGTGATCTCTTAGCAAAGTCACAAAGCGTTACACAGGGTATTAGCAGAAGCACAAACTGATGAAAAATATCACAAGCTGGGAAAAAAGTTATTAAGAATAAATAATTCAAGGATTATAAAGGCTATTGGTATAAAGGAATAGCTTATTCATCTACTTGAAGAGAGAAGACAGGATTGAAATGCAGGAGTCTGATTCCAGAGCCTGTATCTTAAACCAGTACTCAATGCTGTCTCTCCTTATTCTTTTATGTTTCACACAGTCAAGAAAAGGTCAGCTTAGTCAGGCTCCACACAATTACATTTTCTTCAAAAATATACTTCTATAAAGATATTTATATACTTCCACAAAACATTTATGTAGAGATCTTAGTCACTGGGAATTAAAAAGGTTATATTGGGCTTCCCTGGTGGTGCAGAGATTGAGAGTCCGCCTGCCAATGCAGGGGACACGGGTTCATGCCTGGTCCGGGAAGATCCCACATGCCGCGGGGCGGCTGGGCCCGTGAGCCATGGCCGCTAAGCCTGAGCGTCCGAAGCCTGTGCTCCGCAACAGGAGAGGCCACAACAGTGAGAGGCCCGCGTACCGGAAAAAAAAAAAAAAAAAAAAAAAAAAGGTTATATCATAAGAAAAAATAAATAAAAATAATCATAGCGTATATATCGCTACCTAAAAGAAATAGGCTCTTGGTTGTTGGAAAAAACAAAATATCTTAAGAAAAAAATCGGTTAGAATATGAGTAACTTATGAGGAAACAAAATGAACGATTATCGTAATATCATCCTATAGACCTTACAAAAAAATCACTATTCTTCCCCAAAGCCATGAGTTCCCTCAAAGAAGCTGGTGTTAATTTATATCTATTGATATGGAAAATAATGTAAATCTTACCTTGATGTTACGTACTTTTCATACATCTCTTCTCTAGCCTTTTTGGTTTCTTCAAGTTGAGTTTGAAGTCTTTCAAGACGATCCTCTTCATGGGCACAGCGAACACTAAGCTCCATATTTTGGCGGTTGAGATATTCTTTATCCTTTTGCAGTAAAGTAACAGTATGCTGTAAGGTGGCTACCTACACACACGCAGAGACAGACAGTGTCCAGAGCAATGTCATCTTACTTTTCAAGGCTTACTGAGTTATTTTCTTTCATTTGTGCTTCTGTTCAACATATAAAGAGGGATAATCCCTACCATGAAAATTTTCATATAAACAGAGCTACTAAAAAATCCCTTCTTTCTAGCAATTACATCAGAAAGGAAGAAAAATGTCCCTCTCACAATTCTGCCCTGAGCTGTGTCCACAATCACGGTACAATAAAATACAAGTGTCTCTATAAGCTTACCTCTTTTGATAATTCACTTCTTTCTTTAGCTTGAATTATGTGAGAGGCTTCAAGTGTTTCATGTTTTCTCCTTAAGTCAGTTACTTCCTGTTCAAGTGCATCACGCTCACTATAAAATTCAAATACATTTATTTATTTTTACTAAAATAAAACTCAAACACATATGTAAATTCTATGTCTCTTTTCATAACGAACATTTTAAAAGCATCGATTATGTTTCAGGAAACTGAACAGATACTTCAGTGTCATTCCATGAACGATAAAGTATCTGCTTTTCAAATTTAGAAGAGACTCTGTTCAAGACCTTCTTCAGATACATAAACATGAATTTATTATCTTCAAAAAATAAGTATGTAAGCTACACTAATCAGCAAAGTAAATAATAAAACTTGCTAAGGTACACTCTGGTATCTTTTCATTAATCATCTTCAGTCTAATCTCGAAGCCAAAACTTTTAAAGAATTTAAAACATGGCTCTAGGCTTTCAGTTGTTAGGCTAAAAAGGCCTTAAATCATCACTCAGATTGCATAGATGATACACAGGCAGGCATTCTTGTGGTTATTTCATTCACAAATTGTTTATGATTACCCAGAGATTCTTATTTCCATTTTCAGACCAGCTCTTTCCCCAACACAGCAAAACCAAGAACTGGACCAACCCTACAAACAGGTATCTTAAAAAATGAGCAGAGAAATAGATTTGCTAATTCTTAACTTGTTCTCTGCAGTGAGAATCAGTTCCTTTGCACTTGATTTCATTTACTCCCCTGGTGTTTCCATGGAGAGAGCTATTAAGAACTGTTTTTCTTTTCATTAGATTTTCAATAACTCATTTAGAAAGATGACTTCTAAGATTTCTTCTGCTTAACGAAGTATTATCATTATACTTGAGCAAAGCACAAGTTGAAAAATAACAATCACCCATAAACCCACTAATTAAAGATGACTATCAATATTAATATTTTGGTAATATTACTTTAAGTATTTTATGCCTTTACATACAAATGTTTTTATTCTCACAAAGTAAGGACTTTTGCTATGATTTTTTAATGTAAAAAAATAGATTATAAAGCATGATACAGCAAAATACTCATGAACTTGCTATCCACAGCTGATGACAGTTACATTTGTCTATATTTGCATTAAAGTTTTGTTCTGTTTTTTAAAAAGATAGAACACTATGAGTAAAGCTGAAGTTTCCTATATTTTCTCACTGTTCCAATATCATCCCCTAGATACAATTATAAATTTCCATATCATGTTTTTTTACATACTTTTACTCACCAATTGTTAATATTTTGTCATATTTACTTTGTAATATTTACTAAATATTACTTTGTCATATTTATTCTCTCCCTCTCTGTTGTTCATATATGTGAATAAATATATATATATGCATTTACATATATAAAAATACATACACATATACAGGTATACACATCTACACACACGCACACAATTCTACATGTGCATTTTTTTCCCCCTCAACTACTTGTCATACGCAGGCATTAGGTCCCTTTATCCCTAAATAATTTGGTGTGAATCCAAAGGTTAAAGATATTCTCTAATGTAATCAGAATATAATCATCGGGACTTCCCTGGTGGTCCAGTGGTTAAGATTCTCCCTTCCTTTGTCTTTCATGACATGGACCTTTTGTAGCGCACAGGCCAACTTTATAGAATGTTGCTCAACTGTCATTTGTCTGATGTTTTTCTATGACTAGATTTAGATTAAGCATTTTGGGCAGGAATATTACAGAAGTGATAATGTATCCCCGATACATCAAATAAAGATATATTGAGATGATGTCACTTAATCTCATTATTGGTGACAATAACTTTGATCATTCGCTTAAGGTGGTATCTGCCGAAGTTCTCAACTATAAAGGTATCTTTTTGCCCTTTGCAATTAATAGGTAATCTGTGGGAATTTTTTTCTTTTACAACATTTCAGTTTACTGAGTCCTATAAAATAACTGGATAATTGACTCTACACACTTTCAGTGACATCTGAAAGGAAGAGATATTCACCCCAATTTGCTATGGGATATATTTTAACATTCTGCTCTCTAATATACTTTTACCCAGTGGCTTTAGCTTCCAATGATGACTCTAAATCAAACAGTATTATGAGGTTACAAAACAGTAATTCCAATAAGCATATGTATTTATTGGTTGGCATTCTACTGTGAAGATCCTCTTTATTTACTAGCACACACTCAAGGACTCTTATTCTGTTCAATGGATTGTAACTCATTATCGTTAATATTCGTCTTGATATACAAGTTGTACCTATTTGGCCAGTTGGAGCCCCTTCAAACTAGCTATTGTGGTGTTGAATTGGAATTAGAAATATCGGTATGATCTTATCCATAGTACGTTAAGCCATCCTTTCACTTGCCTCTTCATTGCGCCTCTGCCTACTGAAAGGGCCTAGAAATAACGTTCAATGTAGCAATGACCAGGACCCAAATCTTAATTTCTGAATAGCATTCTCCACTAAAAGGAACCAAGACTCCTTAAAGAAAGGGCTGAGGCAACAAAATCACAAAATAAACCTGAGAACTTTCTGTTATGCCAGAAAGTTTAGGAACTGCCTGCTTTGGGGGTGGGAGGGTGGGGAAGAAAGAAAGAAAGAAAGATGCGCACATGCATTTTGCTTTTTAAAATTTAATATTATGTGTTTGACTTATCCATATATACATTCAGATCTAATTTAATGATTTTAATTGTTATGTAGAATTACATTATAAAAATAAATCACAATCTATTTTCCATGCTGCTGTTGAAAAGCATTTGAATTTTCTAATAATGATGCAGCTAACATCCATATATCTGTTTGCTTTTGCACATTTGTGAGAATTTATCAAGGACATAAAAGTGATTTTTTTTCCCCCAGTTTATCTTATATGTTTGTGACCAGACCATCTTTTAAAAATCCATTCTTTCTATTGAGTGAACCAAAGGATTCACAGTTTGAGCCACTCTTGCTTGGTTGTTTTTCTGTTCCATTTCTAGCACATGATGATGCTTATTATGCTTTTATTTCTTAGGTTTTCATTATAGAAAATAAAACACACATAAAGAGAGATGCTAAAGTGAGACACCTCCCCACCCCCACATTCATCACTCACCTGCAAGAATTATCAACACAGGACTCATCTTGGTTTGTTTACCCTTCATTCATGGCCACCCTGGATTATTCTAATGACTATGCCTTCTGGTTTTCTCCTTTCATATTTCACTTATTATTGCTATAGATTTATAGTGGCAGAGAGGACATCAAAACACCAACTCAAAGTATCATCTTACCATCACAACCTACTTCATTTTGAAATGATTCTTTTGAAATCTAGCTTTCTTTGAAAGCCCAATAGTATAGCTGTCATGGATTTCAAGCTCCAACAATCACTATATTTTGACATAACAGTGCATACATAATAATACATAATGCATGTCAGTCATGCTGGGAGTAGGAGCACCAATGTTATATCCCCCAGATCCTGGCAAATTTACTTATGGCGTTTTACAATTTATAAAGCATTCATTCAATTAACAAACACTCATTGAGTGACTGCTTTAGTTCAAGAATTATTTTAGGTGCAGGTAGATGTAGCAGTGAACAATTAGGATCATCTCTCTCTATATATGCATACATATATATACTTTCATAAATATTACTTTATTTGATCTTCTTAATTTATATAGTGCAGTTATTGTATTAGAACCACCTGAGAGATGACAAAACTTTGGCTTAGAATGTTAAGATTTCCTAGGGACATACAGCTAAAGTGGTGGTTCATTAGTACATTCCAGCAAAAAGAAAATTCTCTGCCTTAGCAGCAGCACAATAGGAAACATATCCTCAGAAAGTATTATTTTTTGAAAGTATGTGTGCCTTTTGTCAAAAAGGAATAGCTGAAAAAACTTTAGATAAAACTGCAAAGTATTTAAATTGATGCCATAAAATAAAAATAATCAAGTAAGATTTCAAAAATATTTACACACATAGGATTTCACTGGGTTCCTATCTTCTAAGGCATAACATTTTAAAAGACAAAAGCAGCTTCTAAATAAAATAAAAACAACTGACATAAAAGTACAATCTAAATCCAACAAACTGCCAAAACTGCATGTTTCTGTGCAATGAAGAATAAGGTATATGTCAAGAGAATAAGAAGACATAAGGTATATGTCAAGAGAATAAGAAGACAAGCCACAGGCTGGAAGAAAATATTTGCCAAAGACATATCTGATAAAGGACTATTATCCAAAATGTATAAAAAACTATTAAAACTCAACAGTAAGAAAACAAACAACCCAATTAAAAAATGAGCCAAAGACTTTAACAGACACCTCACCAAAGAAGATATACAGATGGCAAATAAGTACATGAAAAGATGTTCTGTATCATGTCATCAGGGAAATGCAAATTAAAACAATGAGATATGACTACACACCTATTAGAATGGCCAAAATCCAGAACACTGATAACAAATACTGGCAAGGGAGTGGAGCAACGGGAACTCTCATTCATTGCTGGTGGAAATGCAAAATGGTACAGACACTTTGGAACAGTTTGGTGGTAGCTCACAAAACTCAACATATTCTTACAATACAAGTATGCTCATGCTCCTTGGTATTTACCCAGAGGAGTTGAAAATTTATGTCCATACAAAAAACTGGCACGTGAATATTTATAGCAGCCTTATTCCTAATTGCCAAAACTTGGAAGCAACCAAGATGTCCTTCAATAGGTGAATGGATAAATTATGGTACATCTTGACAATGGAATATTATTCATTATTCAATAGCACATTATTATCCAGTGAATATTATTCAAAAGAATACTACTCATTATTCAAATGAGCTATCAAGCCATGAAAAGACATGGAGGAACCTTAAGTGTATATTTCTAAGTCAAAGAAGCCAATCTGCAAAGGTTCCATATGGTATGATTCCAACTATATGACATTCTAGAAAAGGCAAAACCATGGAGACAGAAAAAAATAAGATACAAAGTAGAATTAACGACATTGATGGTAAGAATTCAAGTGACTCTGATGCATGCTAAAAATGAGAACAACTGTAGCCATCTTAACTACTTACCTCTTGACTTTACCATAGTTCTCTTGACGGTAGTCTCCTTGCTGAATTAACTGTTTTGTGTCTGCTAATTCTAAGGCCAAACGTTGACATCTAATTTGAAGCTCAGAGTAGTTTCTGCGATCTTCCTCATAAGTCTATAAATAAAAACAATAATAAGGCATTTCAAACTAAACGTACCTGACCAAATTCTGTACTGAACTCTTCTGTTAAGCTGTGCGTATCTTTGTAATTTTAAAAAATCCTCAATTTTTCTATTTAGTAATGTTTCCCTACTCAAAGACAGGTAATCTTAAACTCACTGAGTAGTCTGTAAATTCATTTGTTTAAAACTTGAGCTCTGTTTTTCAAAGAAAAAATAGGTCAACTATGGTTTGGTTAATAGAATAATACATAAAATGACTACTAACGTTAAGGATGTTTTCAACATTTACTGAATTACTATCAGATGCTAAGGACACAGAAATGAATAAAACACTGACCCTGCTCTTGAGGAGTTTACAACGAGAGACAAAGAGCCACATGAACATCAAACATTCACAATGAAAAATGGTTACTGAAGAGATTAACCATGCATTTTCAGTTGTGGTATTCAGAAAAAAAGGAGTTTTGTGGCACTTGGAGCCTATTTCTACATTGATCTTCCTTGTACTCATCAGACTAGTAGAAAGGGACTGCAGAGATGTGGAAGAGGGGTAGAAGTGAAATCCTTAAAAGCACACCTGGCCCTGCTTACTACAAGCCTCGTTTCTCGCCATTTCTCATAATCATACTTCACCTCCAACCCTAATAAAGATCTGAGGTTCTCTGAACACACTACACTTCCTCTAACCCAGCGGTCCCCAACCTTTTTGGCAGCAGGGACCAGTTTCGTGGAAGACAATTCTTCCATGGATTGGGGCTGCGGGGGTGGGGGGTGGGGGGGCAGTTGGTTCAGGCAGTAAAGCGAGTGATGGGGAGCGATGGGGAGTGGCAGATGAAACTTCGCCTGCTCACCTGCTCACGTGCTGCTCACCTCCAGCTGTGCGGCCCAGTTCCTAACAAGCCATGGCCCAGTAGCGGTCCGTGGCCCGGTAGCGGTCCGTGGCCCGGAGGCTGGGGACCCCTGCTCTAATCTGTTCGCACTGCCTGAATAGCTGAATACTGTCAATACTCCTTTAGAGTACTGATCTTAGTGTATCATCAAATTCGTTTTTTTACATCAGAGTGTAAACATCTCAAGGGCACGGACTTTGTCTTGCTCACCATTGGATCTCCATCACTTTACACAGGACTTGGTATAGAGTAAGAATGAAATACTTTTCAATAAATCAGTGAAGAAATGCAGGAATATGGGAATGGGGAGGAGAAACAGGGCACAGAGACGGAGTTCCCACTTCTTCTCCCACTTTGAACTCATCAGATCTTGCAAGCAGTCATCAACTCCACCCCCAGAACCTGTCACGAGAAATACATCCTGTCCCAAGTCATTCTTTTTTAAGGAGCTGATGAGCTCAGTGTGGTCACATTCAGTCCCCAAATACTGACCGAACTATTTCTAAGTGACAGGTCCTGGGCTAGACACTGTAGATACAAAGATAAGTAAGACTGTTTTTGTCCCCTTTAAACTATTAGACATGACTTTGAAATGTTAGCTCCCAAATTTCTATCAAAGGGCGGTTTGAAAAATGTAATAATGGAAAAACTATACTGGCTGTGCTTTGCTTTGGTACATACTATGTTCTTCTGCACTGATGTTCTCCATGAGAATGAAATGCTACTATGTGGTATTTATTAGAGGATCATAGCTGAGGATACTCTATCATCTCCCCAAAGAATCATCACACACGTCATTTCTGACCTAAGTCCCAGAAGATGCTTTAGTTCCCCTGAAGAATGCTTTTACCCTTCTAAACACTACTAATCATGTAACTGTTTTGGGAGAGTGTATAGTGTTATAGTTAGGGTGGAAAGCTCCAGAATTCAACTGTCCAGAACTGAATTACCTGCAGTAACACTTCGAGCAGGTTTACGTCTCAGCACTTGATTGTCCTCATCTACGTCATCTACCCTGTAGAGTTGTTGTGAAGATTATATCAAGTAATACATGAAAAGTGCTTATAAAAATGCTTAGCACATAGTAAATGATCATAAACTATAAATTAATATCATCACAATGCTTTTCCTTTGCTTTGGCTACTAGGGAGATTATAGCCAAATTGATAGCTCGACCTTAATAATTGCACAAAGACTGGGACAGACTCCTGAGGAATATAAACATTTAAAGGGTGAGGAAAGGACAAAGAGCCCTAGGAACCCGAGGGAGTATTCACAGAAACAGAGGGTGAACCAGGGGTGTGTGGCAGGGACAACCGTAGAAGAGCTACTTTGAGGAGACAAGACTGTCAGGGGTACTAATTACTACTGAGAAGAGACCCATAAACAAATCCATTAACTCTTCAGGGATGGGGACAGAAAGTAGACTGCCAGGGGCTAAAGCAAATATATCTGAATATACAATATGTCCTTTTTCGTGTTATGATACATGCATTCTCTTGCTTAATACTTAACTTTATGACGGAGCAAAGTATTATCCTCATTTTTACAGTTGAGGAAACTAGGCTTGGAGAGGATAAAAGTCTCAGAGCTCACGAACAGTGTGGTAAGGACTCCAATCTAAATTTGTCAAACATCCGAACTGTAGGCAATTCTCTCTTTAGTTTAACAGTGGAGAAAGTGAAGTAGCTAGAGAAGAAAATAGAGATAAATGAAGGTTTCAAAAGATGGAACAAGCTTGGACATGTTAAAATATCGATGGGAAAGAACAGCAAAAGAGGTACTGATGCTGGAGAAAATGGGCATGGTCGGGGGGCAGAGCAGTAAAGCCCCTAAGAAGGCTCAGGGTGTGGGCTCCATCTTCACTGTGAAGACTTGTCTTAGAACAGCAGCCATGCTCATACCATGGCAGGCTTTTCTCCAGCTGATACAGTGTTAAAAACTTGAATTTGGATGTCCTCAGGTTGCTCTTATCAATGCCCTACAAGTCACAGAATACTCCTTACCCTACTGCTTCACCTATTTTCTACTATCCACTTGGTTTCTAAAGGCATATGACTTTCCACTCCTTGAAAGGCTCTTCCCACTATAAACAGTAAGAACAAACAAACAAAACCGAACGAGTGCAGATGTAAATATGCTTATGGCAAGAAATTGTGGGAGTTCTCATCTGAGGATTTCCATTTTCTCTGTGCAATGAAATACCAAGTCATTTGCTGAGAGGGAGAAGGAAAGTGGAAAGCTGGAGATGTGAGGAGAGTGGTGAATGCCTAAAATAACTGCTGTGAAAAATGAGAGAACTAGAAAAAATAGAATTACAGCACAATTGTGTGGGCCCGTTCGAAGTCGGTAACAATAAACTTACAGCCTTGTTACTGCCTCTGTGATTTTCTCCAGTAGCGCTCATGTAGAAAAATAAAGAGTTGAGATTCTGTCAGGCAGGTTCGATAAAAAGACAGGGAGGAATTCGACAACACTGACAAGACTGATAACATGATGAAGAGGGAAGAAAAGACATTTAGGAAGATATGGATAAAAAAAATTATATGGATTGGAAATTCTGCTAAAGATAGGTTGAAAGCAGTTGATTGAAAAACGTGGAAATATAGGAAGTAGTATGTTCAGTGGTCAGCCTGAATTGATAACTTCAGAAGTAAATCAGTTCTGGGAGACAAGGAACAGAACGCGGGTCATGAACCTGAGTGCTAAAGAAAAGAAGAGGTAATCATTCAGAATGAGAAGGTCAATGACGTGCAAGGCCAAGGTCGTGAATGAATCACAAGAAGTAACCCAGGCAGCAGCTAAGGTAAAAAGGAAGACTAAATCTAGACCGCAGGTTCCACTGAGTAAAAAACAATGTCCCAGTGGTCTGCAAATGAAGAAGGTTATAGAGTAGGGCATCTAGATGAAATGAATGTCCCCCCAAAGGTAGGGGTTTATGTGAGTGTGGAAGTGCCAAAATCTAAGATCTAGAGAGGACATCAATACCTTGCCCTGAAATATACAGGGTATAAACTTCTGGAGCAGAAAGCAATTCCGTAGGAGATATGCGTATGTGTGTATTTATTATATTGTACATGCATGTGTCTGTAACATAGTATATATGTGTGGGTGTGAATATATATATATATATATATATATTCTTTAAATATAAACATTATATGACCAAGTATAAGCAGAAGTTCAATACAGGAATGTACATATCCTACCAAATCTTCTAAGACATTTCAACTGAAAAACTTCCCCTTAAATAAAATGATTACGCTTATATTTTGAAAAAAATAATCTGCTTCACTTACTATTAGCAAATAAAATTGATTAAGGCATAGCTTTGGAAAAAAAATAAAAAATAAAAAATGAATCAAACCCATGACTGTGTAGAACTTTAAGGCTAAGGCTAAAGATGGTAGAGAAGACTACTTCGTATTACTCCTATGTATTCTTCCTGACCCGAACTCAGCAATACCTTCTGTGGGAAGACTCCAAGCCCCAAATCTGAGTTAGATGTCTATCTTACATTTTCCCACAGCACCTGGTTCTTACCTCATCAGAAAACACATCACATGTGCTGTGAGCAGCCATTACTTGCCTCTCACATCAAAGGAAAAACTAAAGGAAATTTTCTATAATTCTAGTACCTAGTGCTCTGCCTATAACATAGAAAGTATATAATTAATGTTTCTGGAAAAGAAAGAGCAAAAGAGGATATTAAATAGACTGAAACCAAAGAAGGAAAAAGCTTAATCTTTTCAAACATAAAGAAAGAGAACACAAAATTTCCAATCACCAGCCATTTCTAACAGAAAATTTCTACATAAGAAGTAAATAGGTTTGGTTAACAGCAAGTCTCAATGTCCTTTTTGAATAAAGAAAAAAAACTGCATAGGGATAATGACAATTAAGTCACTGAGATTTCAACTGTTTGCTCGTTTTCTACACATCTAGAATGGAACTGACTTTGATTGCCAGAGTTAATGTCATCTTTTCCATCTCCTAAATTATTCATAAGAGGAAATAATAGAAGGCTATCTCTAGCCTGAAAAAAGTAAATCTGTTATTGTAGTTGCATGTTTTCTTGTCTTGTCTGTAATCCTTGGTTTTC